TGTGAGTTCGAGACCAGCCTGGTCTACAAGAGCTAGTTCCAGGACAGGCTCCAAATCTACAGAGAAACCCTCTCTCGAAAAACAAAAACAAACAAACAAAAATTATCTAATAAAGTTCAACAAGTGTTCTTAATTTAGAAATTAAGAGTTTTGGAGGAATTAAAGAATATTGTAATGACTTCTTTAAATGTTAATCTTTACAACTAGACCTAGAAGTTATCCCATTAAAGTAAGGAATCCTGTTAAAGTAAGGAATAGAGCAAAGACTACATTGTCTAATTCTAGCTAATGAAATAAGATAGCTATCTAATTCTAGCTAATGAAATAAGGCAGGAAACAAAAGTAAATGTGAAAGAAAAGTTGTCATTTCTGTAGATAATAAAACTGCATTTTTCAAGAAAAAGAGGAAAACCTTTAAGGAAAAAATGATTAAATTAGCATACAAGTTTGTCTCTTTTTCATCAGTAGTCTGTTCAAAAAGTAAAATGGTTAAAAAGAATATTTATGAGAACAAAAACATAAACAGCCCCTGGGAATATCTGGAGATGCAGAGCAATCCAGTGACTTTTACATGCTCTGAGTTTTTTTTTCTTCTTCTTCTTCTGGGTTTTCAAGACACGGTTTCTCGGTGTAGCCCTGGCTGTCCTCAAACTAAGAGATCTGCCTGTACCTGCTGGGATTAAAGGCATGTGTTACTGCCTCCCTAGGCACAATCTTTTTTAAAAAGAATTTTTGCCTACTTTGTGTGGCATTCTAATATTCAAATCATTCAGAGTATTTAAGAACCTAATTTCACAGCCTGAACTACATGGAGAAACCCTGTCTCAAACCAAAACCAAAAAAATACTTCCAAAACTTCGAATTTCTAGGTGTGTTTTTGTTTATTTTCTTCTTTGTTTTATTTGGAGACAGAGTTTCACATAATCCAAGCTGGCCTTCAACTCCTTTGTTAGCTAAGAGTAATTTTAAATTTCTGATCCTCCTGCTTCCACCTCCACAATGCTAAGATTACAAGTGTCTGTTGCTGTTCCCATTTTAATTCACTGTGGGAATTGAACCCAGGGCCTCCAGCGTACTAGGAAAGCACTCTACTGAGCTCCATCTCCAGCTCAATCTTAGCTGTTTTTAAGACTTATAAATTTTCATTAATGTTTTGTTTACAAATTTAAGAATTTATATGTCAAAAAATTACTTGAGGGTCTGCAAGATGGCTCAGCAGATAAGGGTGCCTGCCTCCAAGCCTGAAGATCTACTTTCAGTCCCTGGAACCCACATGATGAAATGAAAGAATCAACTTCTGTAAGTTTTCATACATGTGCACACGTGCATACATGCATGTGAAAGTAAGACTTGGACAAATGTTTGAGACAGCACCAGATTAAATTCTCTTAAGTGGTTTAAACTACACTAAGAAAAAAACTAATTTTTATTAATTCTCTCAGATACTTCATATTTCTTTTTTCTTTCTCTCTCTTTGGGAAGGGGTGGGCATCAAGACAGGGTTTCTCTGTTTAGCCCTGGCTGGTCCTGGAACTTGATCTGTAGACCAGGCTGCCCTCGAACTCATGGGGAGATCCACCTGCACTTCCACCTGGGATTAAAGGTGTGTGTCACCACTGCCTGGCTACTTCATATTTCTAAAGGGATAAACTTGTAAGCCTTATAGTAAACTCTTTCCAAGATCATAACTCATAAATTTGATTGTATAAATATAATTCAGAATCTTTTATGGACCTTAGAAGTTAATTGCATTTTCTTGAGCATTTGGAATTAAATGCATAAATTTAACATGACCTTTAATATACCTGATTGTCTTAAATGTTTTTAATGGCTTAGCCCAAGAACAAAATAGAATGTTGTGATGATCATAAAACTTAACCAAAATCTGATTTGTGGGAGGTAATAGGTGATCTACTTCTTTCTCTAGTCCTGTCTCCCTGCTAAGACTTGTACAAATTAGCTAACAGGAATATTGTTACTGACTGTGTGCATTTGAATTGTGCCCTCTAAAGACCTGGACTGAGACAAGGCTACATTTTAAAAATTTTGGCTTGACAGGAAGACTAGGATCTGGTTGCCAATTTATTCATCCAATTGAGTAACTTGCTGATCCATTTCTTACAGTAAGATTGTGCTTCCTCTCGGTGGGGAACCTGTTAGCCTTTAACTTTCAGTTCAGGATTATTTTCACAGCCAGGTGAATTTTCAGCAATATCCTGAGGCCCTTGGAAGTTTCTTTTAGGGTTCTTTTTTCCAGTATCCTAGTGCATGTTGGTAAACATTTTGCACAGGCCAGTCTATTTTACTGGTTGTGTCTTTGCTGCCTGATTAGAATGATTTTTTTAACTCATTTATCTGATCTTCCATCACCTTTTTATGACAATGAAAGAAATGAATATCCAATATAGTTTACTATATCTACATATATGTGGAGATAGACAAATCATTCTGATTTCATATTTGTGATTCATTTTGCAAAATACATTTTGGAGGGAACTTGCACAAATGATTCTAAAATTGATCTGAAATAGATTAGAAGCCAGTTATCATTATTTTTCAGATATTTATTTTTTGTGCATTAGTGTTTGCCTGCTTGTATGAATGTGTGAGGGTGTCAGATCTTGGAGTTACAAACAATTGTGAGCTCTCATGTGGTGCTGGGAATTGAACCAGGGTCCACTGGAAGAACAGCCAGTGCTCTTAATCGTTGAGCCATCTCTCCAGTCCCCCAGTTAGTTACTATTTTCAAAAAGAAAATAAAGATGAACGTTAATTTCATATACTAAAAGTATAAGTTTTCAAGACAAAGCTGTATTGGTTAAAGAATCTCTCAAGTACTTGATTAATGTAATACGGCTTTTAGCATGGATTGTAAGTATATAAGGTCTGCTTTGGTCTGTGACAAATCATCAGGAAAAGGAAGATTATTCAGTAACTGGTACTGAGGGAAAAGACAAGTTAGAGCCTGTTCTCAGACCTTAGAGGACATTAAGTCTAATTTAGGTTAGAAGTTAGTATCTATAAAAGACTGAGGGGGTGATTTCTTCTTTATGGTCTGTTTGTAAAGAGCTTTCTAGGTACATAGGAAATGAGAAGGGTCACATGCCAAAAAAAAAAAAGTTTCGACTGCATTAACACACAGGCTTTTAACCTGAATTATGTGATGTGGAATGATTTCTAGAATAGGAAAAAATTTATATTTACCACTTTTTGCTTAAATGAGTTAACGAAATTATAATTTATCAGTGGATTCTTCTTGACAAGGAATTTTTTTTAACTCTGTGTAACTGACAACTGTTTTTGTTATTTTGATAATGTCTGCCTTTGTTATTTTAGTTTGACCTGGCCCTTCTTTTCAATGTTAACAGAAATCATGCAGTGACACCTGCTAAGACTTGTTGGTAGCCATGTCGGAGCCCCACAGGGTCCAGTTCACCTCTCTCCCAGGTTCTTTGAATCCTGCATTTTTGAAGAAGTCCAGGAAAGAGGAGATTGGAGGAACAGAACAGCATCAAGACTGTGAGCCAGCTGCAGCTGCTGTTCGGATTACACTCACCCTCTTTGAACCAGATCACAAACGCTGCCCAGAGTTCTTCTACCCAGAGCTGGTGAAGAACATCCGAGGGAAGGTGAAAGGCCTTCATCCTGGAGACAAGGTACATTCCGGTAGACCCAGAGTTGCTGCAGATCTAAAATGAAGACACCAATATGTTCACATGGGCCTTTATATCAGGGAAGTGAGACTAGAGAGGCCTGGACTCTCCCAAGATCACCACTCATCTAGAGCAGGCACTGGGTAGGAAAAGAATTCTTTTAAGACTCTTTCTCCTGATTTACACTAGAGAAAACCATATGACACATCCAAGGCCAGTTTGAATTATGACTGGTTATATAAATAAAAGAAGCAACACATTTTTTATGTTAACTTTTTCTTTTTTTATTTTTTGGCGGGGTGGGGGGGTGTTGAGAAAGGGTTTCTCTGTAGCCTTGGCTGTTTCAGAACTTACTCTGTACATCAGGCTGACCTCAAACTCACAGAGATCTGCCTGCCTCTGCTTCCTGAGTCCTGGGAAAGATATGCACCCCCATTACCCAGCTCATTAACATTTTTAAAAAGTGTGCGTGTTTCTATGTAGTTTCGAAACAGTGTCTTTGTTTGCTTTATTGTTGTGAAAAACACAGAGACCAAAAACAACTTGGGGAGGAGGAAAGATTATTTCAGTTTACAGCTTACACTATAGTCCTTCATGAAGAGAAATTAAGGTAAGAACAGAAGCAGGAATTATGGGAGAATATTACTCATTGACTTGCTCCTTTTGTCTTGCTTATACAACCTAGGGCTACCTGCTGAGGAATGTCACCACCTAGGGTGGGTCATACCCATATCATCCTTTAATCAAGAAAATACCCCCCACAGACTTGCCTATAGTTCAGTCTGATAGACATATTTTCACTGTTGAAGTCAAAAAATAAGCCAAGAAGTACATAGTCCTACTCTATAGCTCGGAATGACCTTGAACTTAAGATCCTCCTGTGGTGGGATTACATACTTATGCCTCTATACCCAGTTAAAAAAATATAAATATAATTTTTAGTTGAGTCATTCATACATGATAAAATTTGTGGATTTTTCACAAACTCAGCACAGCCATGCAACCTGTACATGACATGATTCACAAAATAGAACTTTTACCAGGATACTAATAACATTTCTACTTGCCTCAAAGAACACTGTCCCCCCATAGACAACTGCTGTCAATTAAGACCAGTTTTGCATATCTTTGTGTTTTATGTATATAGAGTCATATATCATAAGTAGGAGGTAGATGAAGAGCATTTTAAGCATATACTAGTGTACTGTGTTAGACTAGGAGAAGAAGGTAAGATCATATTCAGTGGAAGTTGGTCTCTAGAATAGCCTTTACTAGAACAAGGATGAAGGAAGGTAGCACCTGGCTCACAGTGTCTGAGGGTGGAGTAAGGTCATGTTGATAAAGTCTGTAGCATAGTATCTCAATGTCAAGTACTCACTTAGCCTGACTCATTTTAGGGATGTTTGGAGGAAGCATGTCTAGTTAGAAGCTTTCCTTACTTTTCTTAAATAAAAATGTATAGGGTTATGTTTTTTGTTTGAGGCAGGGTCTTGTGTATCCCAGGCCAGCTTCTTAATTTACCATATAACAGGATGCCCTTGAATTCTTGAACCTTCTTCCTTCACCTTCCAGGTGATGAGATTAAATATGCCACTATAGTTGACAAAAAATAGTTTTATTTATTATTTTTAAAGCTATGAGTATTTTTCCTATATATATGTGTACTGCATGTGTACCTGGTACCTGTAGAAACTAGAAGAAGGTGTCAGAATCCCTGGAACTGAAGTTACAGATAATGGTGAGCCATCATGTGGGTGCTGGGAATTGAACCCAGGTCCTCTACAAGAGCAGACAGCACTGTCAACCACTAAGCCATTTCTCCAGCTCCATTATTTGCTTTTATGTATATGACTGTTTGCTCTACGTGTGTGTTGCATATAGAAGCTAGAGGAGGGGGTTGGATCCTCTGGACATAGTTACAGTGGGTTGTGAGCTACTGTATGGGTGCTGGGAAGGGGACCACAGGTCCACTGTAAATAGTCTTAGCTACTTAGCCATCTCTTCAGTCCAAACTGTTTGCTGTCTTGTTTGGTATCTTACTGATAGAATAAAGTCAATGCGTCTATACCAGGGGTCATCATGCTGTATAAGGGCCAGTAAACAGGATGAGAGAAATAATTTAAAATCTGTTCACAGTTCCTTTTTCAATGTAAGGTTAATGTGCCCTTCCTTAAGAGACGTTAGTAGGAGTAGATTAACATATTTATCTATGGGCTCAAACCAAATGGGTAGAGCAACTGAAGTTAGAACTTGAGTGATCTTGCTTCCCTTGTTTTGTTTTGTTTTGCTTTTTGTTTTGGCAGCTGGAGTAGAGAAGCTCTGTATTTTCAATATTGCAGAAAAATACATGGAAATACACAGAGAAATTTAGATAAAGTTTCAAGGGAATCACTCCTGGACTTCAGTTTTACAACTCCTGAGTCAGTTTTACAAATCCTGAGTGTGGATCTGTCTTGTTAAGAGTATAGTATTCATTAGGTCCTGGACACCATTACGACTCTTAGCATAATCTGATACATTCGTGTGTTGGCTCAATTAGCACATATTCTTTACAATGTGAAGTGCTGCTGTATGGTGAGGACCATATAAAAGTGGGAAGGGAATTTACAGTCTCATAGGTATTTTAAGAACAGGAGAACAGGTAGCAGAAGTTAAAATATGATGAGGTTTAAGCTCCAGAGGGCTTTGTGTGAGCTTAATAATGGCCAGGATGCTGTGTTTAGACATAGGTAAACCTTTGATCCAGAAATAGTAATTGATTGGCTTGACTTTGGAGTGTTCATGTTGAATTGGGTAGTACTCAAAAATGGGATTTCTAAAGTTATTTTAGCCGCTTAGTTGTATGTGATCATTGTAGAAATATTAGAAGATACAAATAAGCACCTGTTTTTTAAAAAAGCCTATGTAGGTTTGAAGAGATGCCTCAGTGGTTAAGACACTGACTGCTTTTCTATATAGGACCTGGGTTCTATTTCTATTAACCACATGGTGTCTCACAACCACTTGTCTGGGGGATCTGATGTCTTCTGACCTCTTTGGATACCATGCATATACTATACAAATATACATTCAAACAAAGCACTTATACATATAAAATAAAGGTAAAAAATTTAAAAAATTAAATCATGTATTACTATTTAAATGTTTATATTTTGTATGTACAACAGTATTTCAGTATATAGGCACACTATAAATCACATAGCTGATCTTTTGGGTAGGTAGGTTTTAGTAGACCAAAAGGTGTGAAATAAAGGGATTATTTTTTCTTTTTTGTTTGTGTGAGATTGGAAATTGAGCCTTACTATGTAGTAAGCTGGCCTAAAGCTATTCTTTTGCTTCTCTTTTCCAAATACTGAGATTACAGGCACATAGCTCCATGCCTGGCCTAGAGTAGAGACTTTTTGTTTGGAAGCAAACATTCATTTTTCAGTATTTTATTTATACTCTTAGTATTTAGTTAATCTCTATTAATATTAAAATCCCTTGTCCAAGAGCATATATCCAGCTATGGAAAATTTACTGGATTAAAAAATGCATGAGTAACCTTATGGAGTAAAAATAAACTTTCGAAGACAAGATGAAAATATTTGGAATGATTATCGAGGTTGGCAAACAAGAGGGTTATGACAGTGGACCCTTGAAGGCATGGTTTCCAAGGGTAGCAATTTATTGAATCAGTGTTTGACTTGAGAAGTACTATTTAGACCACTTTTTGAATTCCTTTAAGTTTTCATTTGATGATTATTATTTTATTGTTTTGGTTCCTCTTTTCTTCAATTGTGTTGTGCTTACTAGGTAAAGACTATCAGTGGACTAACTTCTCAAACCTCTCATACACTTTTCTAAAGACAGAATGCTTGTTAAGAATTTGTGTTATATTCAGTGGATTTTCAACCTTTTTTTTTTGACATCCTTTTCTTAATTTAAAGAATATAAGAAATGTTCGTGAATTTGTGTGTCATTACAACAGGAGCCATGCTAATCTTCGGTATATTGTTTCAATTTTAGTATATATACTGCCAAAGAAAGCATTTTTTTAAACTTTTTTTTTTTTTAAATCTGTTCCTGGGTATGGTGGGGCACACCTTTAATTCCAGCACCTGGAAGGCAGAGGCAGGCAGAGCTCTTGAGTTCTAGGCCAACCTGGTCTACAGAGTAAGATTCAGGGCTACAACAGAGAAACCCTGTCTCAAAAAACAAAAGGAAAAAAGAAAAAAAGACCCTAAAACCTTTTTATCTCTCTATTTATTTAATGTGTGTACGTACTTTGTCTGTATGTGTGTCTGTGCTATGACAGGCCAGAAGAGGGTCTTAGATCCCCTGAGACTGGAGTTAGACATGACTCTGAGCTGCCATGTGGATGCCTGCAGTTGAATCAAAGTTGTTTAAAGAGAAGTCAGTGCTGTTAATCCCTGAGCTATCTTCCAAGACATCATTTTTAACCTTTTTGGACCTTGACTGTTACAGAAGTTTTATGAAGCCTATTGATCTCAAAATGTTTTCAAGTACCTAAAATAAATTGTTACAGAAAGAATCAACTTTATTGAGCACAGTTCTGTAGACATTGAACATCTCCAGTAAAGGCCCTTTGCTCTGTTTGAAGCCTCATTGTTAGGCCATTGTAGATATTTATTAACTTTTGTTGAAATTACATATTCTCCGTTCCTCTCTTTTTAATGTATGGTTCTTGGATTGAGCCTAAGGCCTTGATCATGCAAGGGTAATAACACTAAACTAGGCCCTCTGCCCTTTTTTCCTTTTAGTTTAAGACAAGCCCTCAATGCATTGTTTAGGTTAGCCTTCACCTCACTCAATATTCAGGCTGGCTTTGAAATTGAGATCCTTGTGTTACAAGGAGAGGCGTGCTGTTTGTCCTAGCCGCTTGGCTAGCTTACACCCGAAGTAACCACACAGAAATTGTATTAATTAAATCACTGCTTGGTCCATTATCTCTAGCCTCTTATTGGCTAACTTTCATATCTTAATTTAACCCATTTTTATTAATCTGTATATCGCCATGTGCCAGTGGCTTACCGGGAAAGATTCAGCATGTCTGACTCTGGCCGCTCCATGGCGGCTCTCTCCTACTCTCCTTTCTTCCTCCCAGAATTCAGTTCTGTCTTCTCCGCTTACCTAAGTTACCCTGTCAGCTAGGCCAAGGCAGTTTCTTTATTCATTAACCAATGAAAGCAACACACACACAGAAGTACCTCCTACATCACTTGTGTGCCTCAGCCTTTCCAGGAACTAAGATGACAATGAACTGATACACTTGCTGCAATTTTTTTTAAAGATTTATTTATTTATTATGTATACAACATTCCTTCCTTGTATGCTTGCATGCCAGAAGAGGGCACCAGATCTCATTATAGATGGCCGTGAGCCACCATGTGGTTGCTGGGAATTAAACTCAGGACCTCTGGAAGAGCAGTCAGTGCTCTTAACCTCTGAGCCATCTCTCCAGCCCTGCAATTTTGTTTTTTAAGCAATAAAACATGATGTGATGGCAGCATGTATTCTATCTTGCTATTTCTAAATAATAACTTTTTTATTACACTCTTGGTTCTGTAAACCAGGACTATGGCTTTGTATGTGTGTGTGATTTATTTTTTGTGGAATGATCTCTTTCCAGAAAAAAGATGTCTTGGATCCTTTCAACGATGAAGAAAAAGAAAGGCATAAGGTGGAGGCCCTTGCACGGAAATTTGAAGAAAAATATGTAAGATTTCTGTGTTGGGCAAGACAACAACCTCATTAGTGAGAGTAGTCTCCAGGCATTTTCATGTTCATTTAGTGGATTATCATGTAATCAGAAGTGATCTGGAAATAGATGTAGGACTCAGAGGAAATAGATTACAGCTATTAACCAAATGCATTAAGGTTCAGAACTCTCATGTGGCAGGAGAAATATGTGACTTAAATGGGCAAATAAGGCATTAGAGAATGTGTTTGTTACAGAGCAAGAGAATTCATTTATTTTATTCTTCTGTCGTAGGCCACTTATGCAGATATAAATCTGCCCTATTTCCAAAGGTCTTTAGAGATGGGGTTTGGGGTGTGTGTGAGGTGAGAGAGGGAGAGAGAGACAGAAACATGGAGACAGACAGGAGATAAGGTTAAGGATAGTATATGTTTTCAGTGCTTTTCAACCTTTAATCACTAGCTGTTGAGAGTCAAGGCAACATTTATTGTACTTACCAAAAGCATGTCACCCCTTGTTTTTAAATTTCAGGGTGGAAAGAAACGTAGGAAAGACCGAATACAGGATTTGATTGATATGGGGTATGGCTATGATGAATCAGATTCTTTCATCGATAACTCTGAGGCGGTAAGTAGTTACTGAATGTATGGTACTGACAGTGGGGCAGGGTTGTGACTTGTCAGTTTGTCCTCTTAGTACGAAGAGTCCTGAACTTGAGAGGAAGGGACTTCCTGGACCCAGGCTTTGTTTTTTTCATGTGCAAATCACAATCTTTTCTTTCTAAAATACCCAGTAGCTTGGACATTAGTGATTGAGGAGAGGATGTCTTAGCATGGTGTTTGAAGAGTGACAGAAAATCCTAGTTGCTTTCTCAAGATGTGCTTTGTACCTTGTACTATAGAACCATAAATGGGAGCTGATGATATGTTTCTCTCCCTTAGTATGATGAACTTGTTCCTGCTTCTTTGACAACAAAGTATGGAGGATTTTACATTAACTCGGGAACCTTGCAGTTTAGACAAGCTTCAGAATCTGAGGACGACTTCATTAAGGAAAAAAAGAAGAAATCTCCAAAGGTTAGGCTATTCTTCCTTTTGGATTTCAGAAATACCTTTTGATGTGAGTGTGAGATCAGTGGGTGACTTAGAACATGCAGTCTTTTAGGAAGGCTCGGGAGACTGGTGGAAAGGTAGAGTTGTCTCAACATGATGTGAATATGGGAATACTGGTCAGGCCTCAGTCATTTCATCCATGTCTCAAGATGTTCCAGTAGACTCAACAGCGTCATATTTCCAGATACGTCTCAGAGTGGGTGGAGCCATGAGGGTGTGAGCCAGTGAACTGTATGCCATTCTTACTGGCTTCTCCACTGTGGACTTGGAGAGAACTTTAGTTCTAGGACTGTCACCCACTGAAAACTAGTCAGCCTTAGATTGAGCATATTAGGGTCTGTCTACCACTGCCCGTTATTTAAAATGAGAGGACCCACCTACAGCCTATTCTAAATCTGGGGACTGGAGAGGTGGCTCAGCAGTTAAGAGTATTAGGACTTCTTCCAGAGGTCCTAAGTTCAATTCCCAGCAACCACATGGTGGCTCACAGCCATTTTTGTGGGGTCTGATTCCCTCTTCTGGCATAAAGGCATACATGCAGATAGAGCACTTTTATACATAAAACAAATAAGTAATTTTTTTTTTTTAAATCTGTCTTCAGAACAACCACCATGGAGTTTCCATCTGGGTGTTTACTGAACACCATTGATGGGATCTATAGGTTCGTGTCCCAGGGACTGTTTTGAATAAATCTTTTTTTTTCTTAAAGATTTATGTATTTATTATGTACACATTGTTCAGCCTCCACATATGCCTGCAGGCCAGAAGAGGGCACCAGATCTCATTACAGATGGTTGTGAGCCACCATGTTGTTGCTGGGAATTGAACTCAGGACCTCTGGAAGAGCAGTCAGTGCTCTTAACCTCTGAGCCATCTCTCCAGCCCCCAGGGACTGTTTTGAAAGAGAAGCCTTTTATGTTCATAAAGGAAATAAAATGAGTCTGAAGATGTACCCTACCTGGAGCAAGGCCAGTGCTGTTTTGTGTACTTGTTCTTTAACTCAGGGAGTTGTATAATTGTACCTTGTCTTTAATTTTCAGAAGCGGAAATTGAAAGAAGGTGGTGAAAAGATAAAGAAGAAGAAAAAGGATGACACCTATGATAAGGAGAAGAAATCGAAAAAGTCCAAGTTTTCCAAAACTGGGTGAGAGGCAGCAGCTTTTCACCAGGATAAAGTTTGGCCTGTGAGGGCCAGATGAAGGCGTGACACTTGAGAGCCAACCTGCCCGGTCCCTCTTCCCCAGCTTCAAAATAGACTATAGGGCCTGACCTTCCTTTTCTGTCTTCTCAAGCAGGGCTGTTCTGGGTATAGTCAGCCATTCTAATCTCTGTGTGTCAGATAGCCTATATGCCTGTGTTCTTCTGTCAATGTCGGCAGCTATTTCTGTCACCATATGTTTGTTGATGTTCCTTGTTTTCTTAGAACTCCTCCCTGTCCCAGTTCTTCTGTCTTAGCTGTTATGTCTATGGTCGTGATTCCTCTTTGGCCAGCCCACCTGCCTTCAAGTTACTGCTGTTCTTTCTCTGCTTCTCATGCTTTCTTCCTTGAAATACTTTCCTTACCCCTCCCATTTTTTTCTACCTTTTATTTCAGCCTGGCAGTGGTTTTTAACTCACTGGATATTTACATTATATGACACCGTGTTGCTAATCTGTATTCATATTCAAGCTTTGGTCTGGCAAAAATGAGTTCTCTCTGCCAAGAGGATGGAGGCATGATAACAGAGTGGACTGACAGAACAGAGGCTTTCTTGGAGATTCTTTTCCTGGGAACAGGGATAAAGGCTGCCCTTTAAAAGGATAACATTTCTTGTGGAGAGAGTTCTGCAAGCTGAGTAATCAGTTTCCCTCTTGCTTACAGCTTCACAGCCCTCAATGCCAATAAGGAGAAAAAGAAGAAAAAGTACTCTGGGTTAAGTGTTAAAGAGATGCTGAAGAAATTTCAGAAAGAGAAAGAGGCTCAGAAAAAGAGGGAGGAGGAGCATAAGCCCATAGCTGTATCATCAATAGATGCTCAGAGCCTGAGAGAATTGGAGGGCACTTCTGACCCCTTGCTCTCACTCTTTGGCTCCACTTCTGATAATGACTTGCTCCAAGCTGCCACTGCCATGGACTCCCTGACAGACTTGGACTTGGAGCAGCTGCTCAGTGAGTCTCCAGAAGGAAGCCCTTTCCAAGATATGGATGATGGAAGTGATTCCCTTGGAGTGGGATTGGAT